TGTCTCATTCCAGAATTCTAATTAATATAAAAGGAGTGACTAAATGAGAAGCTCACAGTTTTGCAGCCTCTGATGAGTGGGTTGGATCTTGAAAAGAGAGACAACAGGCATAGGGACATCCCGATGGAAGAATACATTCTACTTATGGAGTCTTGATTGATTAATTAATTAATTAATATAAAATAAAAGCAAGCAGAAGAACCTGAATCTGACCTAGCTTTAGATCCAACATCCAATTTACAGGAAATACATGGGATAAAGAAACATGTTAATTGACACCATAAGGATGCAACCAACAAAATCCAGGCCATGAGAATCTCCAAGGACAATTGGCCCAGTTTCCTGAACAAATAAGTTAAAAGGAACTTAAAACACAAAGCAGGGGCCGGGCACAGTGGTTCGGGCCTGTAATCCCAGCTCTTTGGCAGACCAAGATAGGTGGATCATCTGAGGTCAAGACCAGCCTGGCCAACATGGTGAAGTCCCCATCTCTACTGAAAATACAAAAAGTGGCCAGTGCGCGGTTTGGCTCAAGCCTGTAATCCCAGCACTTTGGGAGGCAAGAGGGACGGATCAGAGGTCGCGAGATCGAGACCATCCTGGCTAACCGTGACACCCCGTCTCTACTAAAAATACAAAAACTAAGCCGGGCGAGGGGCGGGCGCCTGTAGTCCAGCTACTCGGGAGGCTGAGGCAGGAGAATGTGTGTAAACCCAGGAGGTGGAGCTTGCAGTGAGCTGAGATCCGGCCACTGCACTCCAGCCTGGGCAACAGAGTGAGAACTCAGTCTCAAAAAAAAAAAAAGAAAAGAAAAGACAAAGCCACCAGTCACATTTTGTGAATGTCTATGGATCTGGATTCAAACAAATTGTAAAGAAAAAACTAAAGTAAGACTATCTGTGACTTTTTTTTTCCTGTTCTTGAGACAGTTTCACTCTGTCACCCAGGTTGGAGTGCAGTGGTGTGATCTTGGCTCACTGAAGCCTCTGCCTCCTGGGTTCAAGTGAGTCTGGTGCCTCAGCCTCCCCAGTAGCTGGGATTACAGGCATGTGTCACCACACCTGGATAATTTTTTTATTTTTAGTAGAGGTGTGGGTTCACCATGTTGGCCAGGCTGGTCTCTAACTCCTGACCTCAGGTGATCTGCCCGCCTCGGCCTCCCAAACTACTGGGATTACAGGCCTGAGCCACTGCACCTGGCCTATCTGTGACATTTATGAGACATATGGAAAATCTAGACACTGGCTATTTGATGATATTAAGAAAAGATTATTAAACCAGGTGTGGTTGCTCACGCCTATAATCCCAGCACTTTGGAAGGCCAAGGAAGGAGGATCACTTAGGCTCAGGAGTTCAAGACCAGCCTGGGCAACAAAGTGACACCTCGACTCTACAAGAAATAAAAAAATCAGCAAGCCTGGTGGCATGCACCTGTGTTCCGAATCGCACAGGACCTGAGGTAGGAGGACTGCTTGAGACCAGGAGGCCGAGGCTGTAGTGAGCCATAAAGAAAAGAAAAAATAAAGAAAAGATTACTAACTAAAAGGTTTTTAATGCACTAAATGAAACAGCTTGGCCCCCTGCCTTGGGGCTGTCTCTACAGCCTCCCGACACTGCTGTTGAGCGGACTGCTCACACCGATCAGATGCCCCTGTTCAAAGATCAGGCAGGCCCAAGCTCCCCCGCTGAGGCAGGCTCTGCTTTCCCTGTACCAGCGCTTCGTTCAACCCCCCTGGCTGCCATGGGCTCGCACCTCCCTGCCTTTGCTCATGCCTTGCTTCTGCTTGGAGTGCCTGCTGCTCTGCTTCAACCCTACCCATTCCTTGAGGCTCTGAGCAAATTCCACCTCCACAAAGCGGTTTTTCTGACCTCCCCACCCCTCCCATCCTTCTGAGCCTCCAGGACATTCCCTCTGTCCCATGTACATATCACTGACCACTCACTTCCTTAATCTAGAATTTTGGGGATCCACATCTCTTCATCACTAGAGGCTGTGAGGTCCTTGGTAGCAAAGCTGAATATTCTAGTGGATTCAAATCAGGAACTTTGGCCTGGTGCAGTGGCTCATGCCTATAATCCCAGTACTTTGGGAGGCTGAGGCTGGCAGATTGCCTGAGCTCAGGATTGCCTGAGCCCCTGAGTCTGGAGGAACACAGTCCAAGGGTTCAGGGGAGTTGGAAGTAGGGGGTTTCTCCTGGACGGCCGCTGCAGGCCTGCCAAGTGTCTGCGCCAAGCCCACTGAGGTCATTGGTGAGCGGTGTCCGCATCTGTGTGTGGTGGCGCTGGCCTGGGGCAGCCACACATGCTGTGCACTGATGTTGGTGGCCCTCACTAGGTGCGAACAGGGTGTTATTTTGTCATTTGTCTCCAGGCAGGACCCTGTGTGTGTCCGTGTGTGAGTGCTGAGTTCATGTCGATGGTTTGGTGCCTCTGAGCCTTCCCGTGAACGGGTAAGGCGGCATCTGGCTGAAGGTCTATGTTGTGGTGCAGGTGTTGGGCCCGGCTGTGTGTATCAGGGCATATGTCTGTGTTGTCGGCGAGGCAAGTGTACAACCGCACATGCGTGGGTCTGGGGAGTGTGCCTGGGCTCCCTGGTATGTGCGATACACACTTTGTGCATCTGGGTATACCTTTGTGGGCTGATTGGTGGCTATGTTGAACTGTATGCTTTCTCTGTCCGTGTGCAACCATGAGGTGGGAGACAGCGTGCTGTGTCATCTGCATGTGGGTGTTATGGGTCCGCGGTGGTGGGGTGACTGTTCTGTGCCTGTGTGGGGTTGTGCAGCATCTGGCTGTGGCTGTGGGTTACAATGTGCACATTCTGTGAATTGGAGTGTTTCTGTCCCTAAGAAGCAAGTGTAGGCGCAGCCCGGTTTTAGGGTCTCACTATGTTGTTTGTGGCATGTTTTGTGCATCTGTGTGTCTCTGTGTGGGGCCCAGCGTGGCCTGTGTCGTGTACAAACTGCATATCTGTGTGAAGCAAGTGCTGTTTGCCTCTGGGACACAGAGGGGTTCAGGCTGTTGCCGGGTTCTCCTCCCGCCAAAGCCAGGACCCTGTCGGCCACACCTCACCCCTTTCCACAAACTTCACCCCGCACAAAACAGCCTTTCAATTTTACTTGTAATTCAAAAGGGAAGGAGGCTGCCACTAAGCCAGAGATGAAAGAAGTTGACTGTCTCCCCTAGCAACCGCTGTCCTCGGACTGCCATTCAATTTAGTCTTTCCAGGTTACTATGGACACAAGGGAGCCCAGGGGGGTCTCTCCTCTGAGCTAAGGGAGGCGTGGCCACTCCCTCCTTTCCATTCCCAGCTGCGCCTACACCTGCTTCTCAGGGACAGCAAGAAGGAGGGACCCCCATAGGGGCTCTGAGATCCTCTCTCTTGGCTGGGAGGTGGCCTCTGGGAGTGCCTCAGTTTCCCTGCAGGACATGCAGTCAACAGGATAAAGACCTGACCCTCCCTCCACTCCCCATGCCAAGGGTGCTGCAGGGTTGGAAAGATCAGAACAATCTCGCTTACTGCCCCCCAACCCAGCCCACCATGCCAGTGACGGCCGCAGGGGCAGGCACTTGCCACCTGTGGCCATGGAGACAAGGGGGTGGCAGGGAAAGAATGTTGCCCAACTGCAGAGCCCTGGACCAAGGGTCTCATCCCAGCACCACCACTGACCTTGGGCCTATCATGCCCCCTCTCCAGGACTGACTTTCCCTATCTGTGATAAGGTGATCTCCAGGCTCTGAAGTTCTCTGGGACCCACCCTCGAGGAAACGCCTTTGTAGTCATTCCTATTCCACCTCTGCCTCCAGGTGGGGCCTCATTCAAACCATGGTGGATAGAGGACAACTGAAGCAGCGGGCGCCCTCTGTGTGCCATTTGGGGCTCCCCTAGCCACAGGAGGGAGCCTTCCACACTAACCCAGACCCCCTGTGCTGCAGTCCCAGCCCCAGCTGCTGTGTCCCAGCAGAGAAGGAACCTGTCACCTCCCATCTCTTCCCTTCCCTGCCAACTGGGGGCAGGGCTAGCTTCAGAAGGTGGCATTTAAGAGGCAGGCCCTGGGGGTGTGGCACTGTGCCATGCATGGGCCAAAAGAAAAGGGAGGGCTGGCTCAGGGCCCCATCACCACTGACAATGCAAGACTGGGGCCAGCATGCCCTACACACCCGCTGCAGACCCTGGGAAAACTAGCTCTCCACTGTCCTGATGCTAGGGGCCACTGCGGGCTGCCTACCCGGCTCCTCTACAAGTCCCAACTCGTCGGGGGTTTGTCTAGCCAGGCAAATCCCAGGACAAGGACACGCTCCACAGTCACACACAGGAACACACACCCTCCTCCCAGTGCGGGCTCCAGCCTGGACAAGCCCAGCTCAGGGGTCCCACGCCAACCCCAGCTCTGCCACTACCACACAGGAGACCCTGGGCCAGCCCCTGCCTCTCTGGGTCCCTTCCAACTTTGCGGGGGCCAGCTGTGCTCTGAAATCCTTAGCCCAGAGTCTCTTCCCGTACGTAGGAAACAAAATTTCAGAACTTTGGTTCTAGACTGGGTTAGTCTAGAAACCAAACAGAGCCCCGGGGCTGCGAGCTGGAAGACCTGGTGTCTAGCCTTAACTGGCTGTGTGCCCCCAGCATGGTGCTTCCCCTCCCTGAGCTTCAGTTTTCTCCTTTGTTAAATGGGCATCATAATGGTCCCGAACTTGGTGTATTAAATGTGAAACGCTCAGCACGTGCCTGGCACATACTAGGCACTCAATCAACAGTAGCTACTATTAATACACTATTGCCACCTGCATGCCTCCCATCTGCACACATACACTCGGTCCCATTTGTAACTCCCTTACCAATCTTCAGCCACCACCAACTTTCCAGGGTCACCTCCCGGCCACCTGGAGGCCCAAAGCAGACAGTGCATCAACAGCATCACGCACCCCTGGCACCGGCTCACACCCAGCTCCCGCCCCAGGCCGTGGGACCCCCACAAGCCTGCAGCATGGGTGATGTGAATCCTGCCTGGACATGAAGACAGGCCTGCTTCTCCTTCCTTCCCTGCCTGGAACCCATTCCAATGGGCAGTGGCGGCAGGTCTTGTGGCTGCCCCAGATGGCCTGCAGAACACCGCGGGTGGCCACACCAGCCTCCAGCCAGCATCCAGCCACCACCTCAGCCCCGAGGCCCGTGGCAACGGTAGCACAGGGAGATGCCCAGAAACTCAAGGGGCAGGAATCTCTAGGGATCTCGTTCTCTGTGTCCCGCATCCCTAACAGGCCTGGGACAGATGGGAACAAAATGCCCCTATGCCAGGCACTTTATTCTATTATTTCCTATTATTCACACAACTCCACGTCCCATTACAATCCCCACTACGGAAAACAGGCTTGAAGAATGTAGTGATTTGTTCAATGCCACTCAAGGTGGCAGAGCCTCAATCCAAGCCCAGGCCAACCTGACACCAGGGCCCATCTTTTGCCCCGTGTGTGGACCTGGTCTAGATGCCTCCATGCCCTCAAACCAGGGGAGCTCTGGCCTAGCCCACCACCTGGGCGGCACCCACCCTCTCGCTGACCGCGTTGTACTTAATGGCGAGCTCATCGCGCTCGGCACGGCTCTGGGCCAGCAGGTCCTCCACGCGGGACAGCTCCTGCTGCAGCAGCTGGTTCTCCTCCTGCAGTGACAGCAGCGATGCCATCTCCATCGCCGGCAGCGGGACTGGCAAGGGACAGTGGGTACATCATTGGCTTCTGGGTCCAGTGGGACATCCTCCCCCCACGGGGAGGGCAAGAAAACCACCCAGGCCCCTGAGATGAGCCCAGGTGGGAATGGCTGCAGGATTAGGCCTGCAAACAGAGCTGAGAACAGGGAGGAAGGCAAGGAGGGGATACAAAGCTGGACATAAAGTGAACACAGCTCCAGCTAAAGTGTGTCCCAGCAGGTTTTGGAGGTACAGGAGAGAGGCTCAGTCTAGGAGCCAGGAGACCCCTGAGTTCTTGCTCCCTCCTTTTCCAAATAGTTCTTCCCCAGGGCCTCAGTTTTACTTATCTGTAAAATGGGTGGGGTGGGCGCGGACTCACGCCTGTAATCTCAGCACTTTGGGAGGCGAGATGGGAAGATCACCTGAAGTCAGGAATTTGAGACTAGCCTGGCCAACATGGCGAAGCCCTGTCTCTACTAAAAATACAAAAATTAGCCGGGCATGGTGGTGTATGCCTGTAGTCCCAGCTACTTGGGAGGCTGAGACAAGAGAATCACTTGAACCCGGAAGGTAGAGGTTGCAGTAAGCTGAGATTGTGCCACTGCACTCCACGCCAGGGTAACACAGAGAGACTCCGTCTCAAAAAAAAAAAAAACATAGAATAGTAACCAGATCTTCCCAGAACAGCATCAAAGCCGCACTCAAGGGAACAGCTTCAAGGAACTTTAAAGGCTAGGACTCAGGATAGCGTGGGTCAGGTTGTGAGGAGGAGAAAGAGACAAGAGGGAAAGAAAGGCCAGCGGGAGAAGCGGGGTCGTCCACCTCCTGTGGGTTCCCCTTCTACCCCGGGAGAACTGGACACACGCCCCAGGTGTCAGGGTGAGGGCCCCCTGAGTCTCTCTCTGTCTGGGGCTCCAGGGCACCAGCATCCCTGGTGCTCCCAAGGAGGGGGCCCGTCTGTAGCTTGTCAGTTGAACAGAGACAATGGTTAGAACACCAAAACGCCATCACAGAGAGCTGCCAGCACACCAGCTGCAACTGACTGTGCCCTTCCCAGACCCTCAAGCCACATAACGACACCATGTGTGCCACCCGCTGAGAGAAGCAGGGACCATTCACATTCCTGCCCACGTGGGAAATGCATGGACAGCGCCATCCACTCAGACTTCTGCAAAACCCTGGTCCGAGCTGAGCTGCCCTCTCCCTATATCTTGGGTTCAACCAGCTCACACCTTCCCCGGTGGGAATACGGGATATGGGGTTCACATCTTTGCAGCAGGCTACAGGCAAGTATGGAGGGGATGCTCGGCCCTTCCTTCTAGTTGCACCACATGCGGAATAAGTCTGGGCAAATTCATCCCTGAGCCTCCGTTTCCTCATCTGTAAAATGGCTTCTTCTGTCATAAGGTTGTGCCTGTCCCACAGCGAGTTACAGTCATGATCATCATGGTGACTGCTCAGGAAAGGGACATGCGAAGAGGTAAAATGTGGGTGGTGTCTGTGGAGGGGAGCGGATGGGGGTAGCACCTGGGCTCTCAGGCCGGGAGAGGTTGCGGGTGACAATCTCCCTGATGCGGGCAGGCAGGCTGGTGGTCTGAGCGTCCCGGGCCAGGTCCCGCGTGCCCAAGCCCTTCTCCTGGCACAGGACGCTGCTCTCCAGTGTCTGTGGGAAAAGCAAGAAGGTCTTCAGGGGACCTGGGACCCGGGGCTCCCTGGCCTCAGGGGGGAGAGCCAAGTCCTACCGCCCAAGATATGGGTCCCCAGGAGCCCCCTCAAGATGGAGTGAAGCCTGGGAATTAGAATCCAAAAAATCCCCATGGGAGGAGCCTCTTGTGCGCTCCCCGCCCCTGGAAGAAGGCCACCCAGGGCCAGAGATGCGAACCAAACCCCAAGAGCAACTCCCAAACCCCACTGAGGCAGTCCAGCGTTGGGGGCTCCAATCCGGCTCCAACCCTAGATGGATGAGGATCCGGCTATGCCAGAGGTCCTCTGAACCCTAAAATCTGGAAGTAGGGACCCCCCTTCTCCCAATGCAGGGCACTGGGATGAGGGAGCCACAGCAGGTGCCCCCTGTGTGTACCTCTGCCCCCCCCCATCTTGCCAGGAACTGCAAGCAGGGGCCCCTTATGCCCCACCACCACCACACCCCTCCCACCCCTTGACCCCCAAGATGCACACACCTCTCACCACTCCTGCTAAGTCCACGCTACCCCGCCCCAGACAGGGTGGGCACAGCCCCCAGGACCCACCTGGATAACCGTCTCTAGTGTCAGCTCGACCTCCTGTGCCCCCGCCAGCCCCAAGCTCATGGGGGGGAGGCTGTGGGCACTCCTCCAGCCCCCTTTCCCAGGACCCCAAGACTAGCTCAGTCACCACGCGCCACAGCCAGGCTGCTGTGCTGAGCACCAGGCAGATCAAGCTTAAATCCGGCGGCACCCCCATGTGACCACCGGGGTGGGAGGAGCGGGATGGGGGCTGAGGGGGGAGGGGATGGGAAAGGACAGGAGAGGAGGGAACCAGAGGCGGAGCCGAAGGAAGAGGAAGAATAAGAGAGGGGAGGAGAAGGGAGAGAAAGGGAGGGAGGAGAGACAAGAGGGAATGGGGGGAGAAAAAGAGGGGAGGTACCTGGAGGTCAGGACCTCACACACTCTCCACCCTCCCCAGGTTGCTGGGTCCTAGAGCCCTCCAAGCCAGGGGATGGGGTCAGTAGCCATGAGACAGGAAAGGCCAGAGTCCTAAGTCTTCCGGATCATCTTTGCTGGCCCAGAACTGGGGTCACATGGTTAGCTAAGAATGCAAGGATTTACGGCATGCTGGGAGCACGCTTTCCCACAAGTGTAGGGCAAAGAATGCAGGCTGTGAGGTCACCCAGAGCAGGCTAGGCTGCTTAGTTGGGCATGAGCGGTCCAGCCTGGACTGATGAGCATTTATGCAACACCTGCGGCATTCCTAGGTCTGACCTAGACACAGTGGCACAGCCCCGACCTACAAATGCCCCAGCCTTGCCCTGCAGGCACTTATTGGGAAGCTTCTGGCCCCTTCACACCCACCCCAGCCCCCACTTGCTGGGTGCACCAGCGACAGTGACTTTGCCTCTCTGAGCCTCAGTGTCCTCTTACGTAAGATGTGATAATATCGGCACTCACCACATGGAGCCGTCCGGGGATGAAACAGAATATCATGTGTGCATAACCAGCACATGACACGGTGCCGGGGGGTCACATGGCCAACACCCAAGAAATCCTCATTTCATTCATTTGAAAATCCAAAAGGCACAGTACCGGCCAGGCATGGGCGCTCAGGCCTGTAATCTCAACATTTTGGAAGGCCAAGGTGGGCGGATCACCTAAGGTCAGGAGTTTGAGACCAGCCTTACCAATATGGTGAAACCCCATCTCTACCAAAAATATAAAAATTAGCCGGGCGTGGTGGCGCATGCCTGTAATCCCAGCTATTTGGGAGGCTGAGGCAGGAGAATCAATTGAACCCGGGAGGCGTAGGTTGCAGTGACCCGAGATAGTGCCATTGCACTCCCGCCGGGGCAACAAGAGTGAAATTTGTCTCAGAAAAAAAAGAAAAGCACAGTCCCTATATCCCAGGGCCCTGAAACACAGAGGTCACCCACCACCTCCCATTGTTCTTTCCCTGGGGCAAGGAGGCTATGTGGTATAGTGGTTAGGCACACAGCTCTGGAGTCAGTATCAGGTCTGAGGTTGCATGTGAGACGCAGCTCAGTCACTTGCAAGTATGGTGTTCAAGACAGTATGACCTTGAACAGGTTACCTCCCTGAGCCTCAGTTTTCTCATCTCTAAAAGGAGACTAGACCAGGCCGGGCGTGGTGGCTGAAGCCTGTAATTCCAGCACTTTGGGAGGCTGAGGCGGGCAGATGATCACTTGAGGTCAGGAGTTCGAGACCAGCCCGGCCAACATAGTGAAACCCTATCTCTACTAAAAATACAAAAATTAGCCTGCAATGCCAGCACTTTGGGAGGCCAAGGTGGGCAGATCACGAGGTCAAGAGATTGAGACTATCCTGGCCAACATGGTGAAACCTTGTCTCTAATAAAAATATAAAAATTAGCTGGGCATGGTGGTGCATGCCTGTAGTCCCAGCTACTTGGGAGGCTGAGTCAGGAGAATCGCTTGAACCTGGAAGGCGGAGGTTGCAGTGAGCCGAGATCACGCCACTGCACTTCAGCCTGGCAACACAGTAAGACTGTCTCAAAAAAAATAAATAGATAAAAATTTAAAAATTGGCCAGGCGCAGTGGCTCACACCTGTAATCCCAGCACTTTGGGAGGCCAAGGAGAGTGGATCATGAGGTCAGGAGATCAAGACCATCCTGGCTAACACGGCAAAACCCCGTCTCTATTTAAAAAATACGCAAAAAATTAGCCAGGTGTGGTGGCGGGCGCCTGTAGTCCCAGCTACTCGGGAGGCTGAGGCAGGAGAATGGCATGAACCCGGGAGGCTGAGCTTGCAGTGAGCCAAGATCGCACCACTGCACTCCAGCCTGGGCGACAGAGCAAGATTCCATCTAAAAAAAAAAATTAGCTGGGGCTTGGTGGCATGTGCATGTAATCCTAGCTAGTCAGCAGGCTGAGGCAGGGGAATCATTTGAACCCCGGAGGAGGAGGTGACAGTGAGCCAAGATTGTGCCACAGCACTCCAGCCTGGGTGACAGAGCAAGACTCTGCCTTGAAAAATTAAATAAATAAATAAATAAATAAAATAAAATAAAAAATTTAAAAATTAAAAAAATAAAATAAAATGAGACTAGACTGGGCATGGTGGTTCAGGTCTATAATCCCAGCACTTTGGGAGGCCAAGATGGGAGACGCGCTTGAGCCCAGGAGTTTGAGACCAGCCTGGGCAACATAGCGAGACTCTGTCCTACCAAAAACAACAAAAAAATGAGACTAATAGTAAGTACCTGCCACACCTGGCAGGTGGTGAGCTATTAGCCAATGGTGGCCACTGTTCCTTTCGTCATTAGCATCATGTGTCTGGGCTCCTGTCCTTAGAGTTGTAAGCCCTGAAAAAGGACAGGAATTGCTCATTCGAGGAGCTCCACTTTTAAGACACAAGTCTCCCGAAGTTCCCAGCTGAACAAAGCTCCTTCCTTCTTTAACCTGGTGTCTGAGGAGTTTTGCCTGTGGCTCGTCCTGCTTCACTGCTATGCCTCAGCCCTCGGCCTCTGGGTGCCTTCTGCTCCATGCTGTGCCCTAAAGGGGGCATATTCACATTATCTCATTAAATCCTTACTTCAACCCATTTCCAGATGAGAAAACTAAGGCTCAGAGAGATTGGGCTCTCACCTATTCAAGGTGACATGCTTCAGGGAAGTGGTGAGCCCACAGCTCGTTCCACTTTCACCAGCAGCCTCCCAATAAGTGACTGAAGGGCAAGGCCGAAGCATTTGCACTTTGAGGCTCTACTACTGTATCGAGGTCAGACCCAGAATGCCACGGTGCTGTCCAAATGCTCATCAGTCCAGGCTGGACCGCTCATGCCCAACTAAGGAACCTGCCCTGCAGATGGAAAACCAAGAGACAGGGCAGAAAAGATAAATGTTGCCAAGTTGCAATGGCAAGCAAGCCAGATTTGGGCAAAACTAAACCAGCCATCGTGCTGGTTTTGTTGCGGTGGCTCATGCCTGTAATCCCAACACCTTTGGGAGGCCGAGGCAGGTAGATCGCTTGAGATCAGGAATTCTAGACCAGCCTGGCCAACGTGGTGAAACCCCGTCTCTACTAAAAATACAGAAATTAGCTGGGCATGGTGGTGGGTGCCTGCAGTATCCCAGCTACTCGGGAGGCTGAGGCACAAGAATCACTTGAAACTAGGAGGCAGAGGTTGTAGTGAGCTGAGATTGCACCACTGCACTCTAGCCTGGGTGACAGAGCCGAGACTGTGTCTCCAAAAAAAAAAAAAAAAACTAAACTGAACCGGCCAGCAGGCAGAGAGCTGCCACTACAAACCACAGGGCATGCCCACTCTTCTCACCTCTAGCAGCCTCCAAAAATCCCCACTACAGGCTGCACACCCTGCCTATCAGAGCAGGGGAAAGCCACAAATACAAATACCCCTGGGCCAGCATGTCCAGCCTGCACGCCCAGCTCAGCAGAGGGGCCCCAGATGTCCTTGGGGGACTGAAGCTGAATGTTCTGTGGCCTTCTCCTGACCACAGCCCTAAGGTTGGGGGAAGGGGACAGGATATCAGCCCCTGGCACCAGATGACACCCACCCCTTGGCTCCTCATCCCCAAAGTTCTCCTGCAGAGTCCTGCTGGTTCTGTGGGTTCCAGGAAGTCACATCTGAACCCGTGTATGTTGTATGTGTCCACTACTTCCACCCAATTCTCCAAAAAAAAAAAAAAAAAGACTGAATTCCTCTTAGAAATCTGGATGCTAACAGCTTCAGCATCTGGCCACCTGGACTCCAATCTTGGCTCACAGACCCTGTGCCAGAGTCTTCACTTCCCTGAGCCTCAGTTTCCTCATCTGCAAAATGGGATAATAATGGTGCCTGTCTCTAGCATGAGCATCAAATAAAATACCCCGTGCTAAGCTATATGCCTGGATATGATGTGGCAGAAACTGCAATGTCCTCACCACAAAGCATTTCCGATTCCTCTTAGGAATATGGCTGAAAGCTATTTCCCAGACTCCCGTGCAGTCAGGTATGGCCTTGTGGTCAACTTCTGGTCCACAGAATTCAGACAGAAAGAAAGCGTGCCACTTTAGGCTTGGCCCATAAAATTATTTCTCTCCTTCCTGGTCCATCAGCTAGAAGGAAATAACTCCAAGGTCCTAGGGGATGCTGGAACCACAAGACAGAAGGGATCTGGGTCCCTGGGTCACCACATAGAAAGCCACCAGCCAAACACCCAGCAGGACTTTTCATGAATGAGAAATAAACTTCTATTGTGCTAAGCCTCTGAGGATTCAGGGTTTCACTATCACATTAGCTAGTGTTACCTTAATTACTACCAGCAGTTAAACGGCGGGTAAGTGTTGGCTATTATTACTGTTATCATTAGTATCATGAGTATTATTGGCTCTTTCTAGTACCCAAGCTAGAACCCTGTGCCTTGTTCTAGATGCTGAGCCATTATTTGGTGACCAAATACAGAAGAGACACCCTTTGTACCCTTCCCTCCCCACTACCACCCTCCAAACCTGCCTTTTGCCAGGGTTAGCGGCAGGAACTAGCCAAAAAGCTCCTCCAAGATTACTTGTTTCAAACATAGCAGCACCTCTTATCCGCCTACCCCTTCTTTATCCCCCTACCCCTTCTTTATCCCCCTGCTGCTGACTAGAAATTATGACAAAAATATTGAACCAACCACGAGCCAGGCCCTGTGCCCAAAACGTTACATCTGTCCCTTACCTGCTTTAACATTCCCGGCACCACTCTACTCACTTTACAGATGACAGCATGAAGTCTCAGTGAAGTTAAATAATTGGCTTCAATGCACCCAGCCACAAAGAGCTCAAGCCACAGCCGGGACCTAGGTGTGCCTGATTCCAAAGGGTTTTTGGTTTTTTTGTTTGTTTTGGTTTGTTTTGTTTTGGAGATGGAGTCTCGCTCTGTCACCCAGTCTGGAGTGCAGTGGCACGATCTCGGCTCACTGCAACCTCTGCCTCCTGGGCTCAAGCAATTCTCCTGCCTCAGCCTCCTGAGTAGCTGGGATTACAGATATGCGCCACCGTGCCCAGCTAATTTTTTTATTTTTAGTAGAGACAGGGTTTCACCATGTTTGCCAGGCTGGTCTCAAACTCCTGACCTCAAGTGATCTACCTGCCTCGGCCTCCCAAAGTGCTGGGATTACAGGCATGAGCCACCACGCCCAGTCCAGAGTCTTAAATAATAACAGCAAGCTGGGTGATCCCAACACTTTGGCAGGTCGAGGTAGGAGGACTGCTTGAGCCCAGGAGTTTGAGACCAGCCCTGGCAACATAGTGAGACTCCATCTCTACCAAAAAATACAAAAAAACTGGCCTGGCATGGTGGCATATACCTCCTGTAGTCCCAGTTCCTTGAGAGGCTGAGGCAGGAGGATTGCTTAAGCCTGCAAGGTTGAGGCTGCAACAAGCTACGGTTGTGTCACTGCACTCTAGCCCAGGTGAAAGAGCAAGACACTGCCTCAGATAAACAAAACCGGTAACAGCAATGACTGCCATCCTGCAGCATCTGCTGTGTGCCTGGCACAACCCCAGGACTCCCATGTGTATTATATAAGCCACTGCCTGGACTGCTCATATGGCTCCCCAAGGGTCTCTCTGCTTCGCTGCTCATCCCCTCACCCCACTCAATTTCACACAGTAGAGGTCATACCCCTCCCCTGCCCAAAGCCCTCTACTAGCTCTTACCGCACCTAAAATGAAGTTCAAAGTCCTTCCATGGCTCCCAGGGCCCACCAGATCTGACTCCACCCCACTTCTCCCACCTCATCTCCTTCTCTCTAGCCCTCGCTCATGGACTTTTTTTTTTTTTTTTTTTTTTGAGGCAGAGTCTTGTTCTATTGCCCAGGCTGGAGCTAGAGTGCAGTGGTGCACGAGCACAGCTTACTGCAACCTCCGCCTCCTAGGTTCAAGCGATTCTTCTACCTCAGTCTCCCGAGTAGCTGGGATTACAGGCAAGCACCACCACGCCCAGCTAATTTTTGTATTTTTAGTAGAGATAAGGTTTCACCATATTGGCCAGGCTGGTCTTAAACTCCTGATCTCAAGTGACCCACCCATCTTGGCCTCCCAAAGTGCTGGGATTACAGGCGTGAGCCACCACACCCGGCTGCTCATGGCCTTCTTGATTCCTCAAACACCAGGCATGCTCCCACCTCTGGGCCTTTGCACTGCCATTTTCTCTACCTGGGACGCTCTTCCCCCTTCCTCTGCACAACTGACTGCTGCTTGTCAGCCCGATTTTGGCTCAAAAATACCACCTTCTGAGGGAGCTACCCCTGACTCCCAGCTAAAGACGTCCCTCCAGTGGCTGTTCCGTTTTCTCCAACATGTATGTTGTCTGTCTCCTTTTTTTTTTTTCCTTTGAGACAGGGTCTTGCTCTGTTGTCCAGGCTGGAGTGCAATGGCAAAATCATGGCTCACTGCAGCCCTGACCTCCTGCGCTTAAGGGATCCTCCCACCTAAGCCTCCTGAGTAGCTGGGACCACAGGTGCGTGCCAACATGCCTGGCTAGTTTTTTACTTGTTGTAGAGATGAGATGTTGCCCAGGCTAGTCTCCAACTCCTGGGCTCAAGCGGTCCTCCCACCTCAGCCTCCCAAAGTGCCAGTTTGGCTTAGTTCTCTGCCACTTCCACAGTGCATGGGCTAAGGCCAAAGCTCCACGAGGAGCTGCTGAATGAATTAATGAATTCAAAGAGCCAAGTAATAATATAGGATGTTAAATGGAAAAAGAAATGATGCCCCTTGGCTCTGGCTGGGGTCATGTTGGGCCACAGATGGTGTCAGCTACAGATGGGGATCACGGAAGGACACCAGCGAACACATCCTGCATCTGCTGCATCCCAGAAGTTCAGGGTGAAAACCAGGCAGTGACCCCCACAGGGGCCACCTGGGTGGAAAGGGGGCCTCCCCTCCAAGGGCTGAGAGAAAGACTGGGGAGGGGAGGGTTAAGTCAGGGATATGTGCACGGGTGGGAAGCCTCCCAGATCCAGGGGTTGAATCCTGGAGTTCTGCCTGAATCCCACTGGCCTCTGCTCCAGCCACAAGATCTGTTTATTAAGCAACTGCTGGCCGGGGACCGTGGCTCAAGCCTGTAACCCCAGCACTTTGGGAGGCCGAGACGGGCGGATCACGAGGTCAGGAGATCGAGACCATCCTGGCTAACACGGTGAAACCCAGGCTCTACTAAAAAATACGAAAAACTAGCTGGGCGAGGTGGCGGGCGCCTGTAGTCCCAGCTACTCAGGAGGCTGAGGCAGGAGAATGGCGTGAACCCGGGAGGCGGAGCTTGCAGTGAGCTGAGATCCAGCCACTGCACTGCAGCCTGGGCGACAGAGCGAGACACCGTCAAAAAAAAAAAAAAATTAAGCACCTGCTGTGAGCCCAGCGGAAAAAAAACAGAAATCTCTGTTTTCTGGCGTAAACAGACAGATGGAACCATGAAGGCCCCCTCCCCAGGGTCCCCATTCCCCAGTCAATCGTCTTCCCGAGGGAGCTGTGAGCTGGTCACCAAAGGGGCAGACATCCGCCCCCGCACGGTCTTCAGACTTAAGTTTGTGTGAAAATCAGTAGGGCGCTCGTTCAAAATGCCCACTCCAGAGACGCTGCCGGGCCCAGGGGCCTGAGGCCGCATGGTGAGAGGCGCAAGGGCTGCAGGGCCCCATCCCCGCACAGCATCCGGCGGCCCTGCCTTCGTGGCCAGCCCAACTGCGCGCTCTGGGCCTCAGTTTCCCCATCTGCACAATGGAGATGCTTCCGACTCGGCAGGCCTGCAGTGAAGACGAAACCGGGTCCCACACGAGGAGGGCAATACAGAGCGGGGCCCGCACGCAGGAGCTGCAGAGGGCATCTGCGGGGGACAGCGGCCGTCGCAAGGGCCAATCACTGCACAGAAAGCCAATCACCCAGATGATTCTTGCCAAGGAAGGTGCTTTAATAGGGTGCTGCAGTGGGGGAGATGAGAACTCAGTCTCAAATCCATCTCCCGGGCCAACCAAAACCAGAGGTTTAGATGGCAGGGAAGAAATGTAACAATGTGTACCAAAACAGGAACTAGGGCGGAGCAAGGAAGCAATCATGATGAAGGAGGGGTCCCAGCATCTCATTGTCTGGATGAATTTCAGTTCTTTGATAGCTTTCTTGAGAGGCTGTTTCCTGAGGAAGGAACTCAGATAAAACAAATATTAAGTTTCAAGCTTTAAGACCAGAAAGATCCATTCCTAGGTTTATCCAAAAAAGCTACATATGGGACTATTGAGTGGTTTTCAGACCAAGAAAGAAAAAGATTATGCAGACCAAGTCTGAAGTTAACCAAAGAAAAAACATAATTTTCTGACCAATAGGATGTATGGGGCCAGAGAATGACCACGCTATAAAAGAACTGTTTTTTGTCCTAAGCATAGGGGAATGATGAAGTTGCATCAATTAAGATGGAATTAAGCTACAGATGGGGAAAAATCTGGATTTTGGTTCAGAGTCCTGAGGTCTTCCTCAAAAGTCTCTTTCCTTGAAAGAGGAACCCTGTCTTGGTTTCTGCATCTCTCTGAGTCCTTTTGGAGGTTGGGGATGTCAAGGTCTTGGTGCTTGGCCCCCTCCAACCCTGAGTACCCGCCTCCTGCAGGGCAACCTGGCCCAGTACCCAGGCCCCACCTCCGGCGACCATTTCCCCCTACTTTGCTCCTAGCAAAGGCCATTTCTAGGTCAGTTGTGAGGTACAGGCAGGACGAGGCAACTTGTTCTGAGATTTTTGGCCCTGGAAGGCTTGGGGCCCTGTGTTCCTGCGGAACCACTGTCTCCCTCTTTTGGAGAAAGCAGGGAGGAAATGACCTGTGTGGAGGGAATCGAGGGCTGCACCTGCATGGAGGAGCTGAGGCAAGCAGGGCAGTTCCGGTCTGTCAATATAAAGGACATTTGTCATCCAAGAGGTTGGGCTGTTGTTATTAATTTTGAATTTTGTCAATACAAACTGAAGGGAAGTTTGTCTTCTTGCTTGTAGGAACCTCACAAGACCTCCCATCTTATATTCCAGGGAGAATTGCTGTGTATTACAGGAACACATAGGTGAGACTGCTGTTCTGACCTGCAGGCCTCGATGCCCTGTGCAGGGGCACCAGAGCACCGGCAAAGTCCTTCCCATACAAAGAGCAAGCGTGTTATATCTACAACCCAAGGGCACCAGTTCCAAGTACAATTTCTACTTGGCTCTATGAGCTGAATACATGTTCCCCCCAGCACAGAAATTCTACAAACTCCCATGAATGCTATAGTGAAAAGCAGAGGCTGGCCAGGTGTGATGGATAACACCTGTAATCCCAGCACTTTAGAAGGCCGAGGCAGGGCAGATCATTCGAGTTCAGGAGTTGGAGACCAACCTGGGCACCATGGCAAAACTTCAACTCTTAAAAAAACAAAACCACCACCACAACAACAGAAACAAGAACAGAAATGAGCTGGCTGTGGTGACTCGTGCCTCTGCTACTCCAGAGACTGAGGTGGGAGGATCGCTTGAAGCAAGATGCCACCAGATACAGTGAGACTCTGTCTCAGGGAAAAAGACAAACAAACAAAAAGAGGCTGTGTAAGAGGTGACTCTGGGGACAGTGGAAAAACACTAAGGGTTTCAAGTGGTGTTAAAAGCCAGTAGGCCTTGGGGATCATTGAGCAATCCACACAACAGGGAAGCCTAGATCCCTGAGCTCCTCCTGCCCACAGCACTGCAGCTAACATGAGAGCGAAATGCATTTCAATTTAGATCAGGGAAGTCCTTTATAATACTCTTAATTCACGTTTCGGTGAAGCGGTATGCACAACGGTAGGCTCCCCTCTTCCTGTGGGTTTGGGTTTTACCTTGAAAGGGGCTGTCAGAACAGAAGTTTCAGGGAAAGGGCCAGAGCCCTGGGGACTTTCCTCAGGTGATGGTGATGGAAGAAGAGGCACGGCAGCACAGGAAGGCTCAGGTAAGAAAGACTATGCAGGTGCAGGGGCAGGAGGAAAAGGAGCAGTTGGAGGCGAAAGAGACAAAGCCTCCTCAGTAATTCTCAACTCAGAAAACGTGTCAGTTTACCTCCTTCAGCTTGCTTCCTCTAATGGAGGCAATTTTCTCAGTTCTTTTAGAAATTTTAGAAATTTAGAAATTTCTAGGTCTTATTGGAAGTAAGTCTCCCACTTAATTTGTCTGGTTCTAAAACCAAATTTATCTCTCTTTTTTTGAGACAGGGTCTCACTATGTCACCCAGACTGGAGTGCATGGTGTGATCTCGGCTCACTGCACTCACCGCTTGCTGCATGACAGCCAGTAAGTCAAGGGATGAGGTGTAGGGGCAGGGAAGGTGACTTTATTCCAGAGAGCCACCAAACTGAACAGATAGTGAACTAATATCCTAAGAAACCATCTTAAATTAATACGATTTTCAGGCTCCTTATACGTTAGCGAAGGGAGGAAGAAGGAGGTGGTTGGCGTGAAGAGGTCTGACAGTGACAGACTTATGGGCTGCAGTGAGAGCCCAAAGGGATGGTGAAAATTCTTCGTCCTTTGTCAGGTCACACTGCTCTTATAAATCTTCAACATAACACTGTTACTTGTGTATACCACCTCTCTGCCTTCTCAGGAGTTAGTCTGGGGAAGGGATTATTACCATCTGTGCTTTAAAGTTAAACTGTAAGCTAAATCCCTCCCATAGATAGCTTGGCCTATGTGCACTATGTGCAGAAATAAGAAAAAGCCGTTAGCCTGAAAGATATCACCGCAGGGTAGGAAGGATTAGGAGCAAAATGCAGTTAGTCATGCTAGGCCTCCTTTTCATTGTTATATATTTAATTTATTTGAACTCATAATTTTAATTTTTCATACTTTTTTTTTTTTTTTTTTTTGACAGAGTCTTATTTTTGAGACAGAGTCTTGCTTTATTGCCCAGGCTGATGGAGTGCAGTGGCACGATCTTGGCTCACTACAACCTCTGCCTTCCAGGTTCAAGCGATTCTCCTGCCTCAGCCGTCTGAGTAGCTGGGATTACAGGAGCCCACCACCATGCCAGGCTAATTTTTGTATTTTTAGTAAAGACAGGGTTTCACCATGTTTTCCAGGCTGGTCTCAAACTCCTGACCTCGGGCTCCCAAGTTCTGAGATTACAGGCATAAGTCACCATGCCCAGCCTAACCAAGATTATTAAACCATTCGAATTTGTCAAAAGAGTCACACTGATTTTTTAAAAATAATGTAATGGGCTGGGTGCAGTGGCTCACACCTGTAAACCCAGCACTTTGGGAAGCCATACCGTGCAGATCACGAGGTCAGGAGTTGGAGACCAGCCTGACCAACATGGTGAAACCCCATGTCTATTAAAAATACAAAAATTATCCGGGTATGGTGGTGTGCACCTGTAAACCCAGCTACTCAGGAAGCTGAGGCAGGAGAATCGCTTTAACTCGGGAGGCAGAGGTTGCAGTAAGCCGACACCACACACTGCACTCCAGTCTAGGTGAGAGAGTGAGATTCCAACTCAATAAATGAGACTCCAACTCAATAAATAAATAAATAAATAGCATAATGAACTTGTTCATCTCTTTATAGATTATTTACATTATTTAAATTGTTCAAAAGCATCAAAAATTCCTCTCTGCTATCAACTTCATTTCGTTTATTTTATTGTACCAAACTATGAAGACCATTAATTTAATCTACAGCTAAATCTATTATTTTTTCATGTTAGAAATTCAACAAGAAAATTTTTCCCTATTGAAACTTCACATTTCACGCATAAGTAGGCTGGGCAAGGTGGCTCACACCTGTAATCCCAGCACTTTGGGAGACCGAGACAGGTGCATCACTTGAGGTCACGAGTTTGAGAACAGTCTGGCTAACATGGTGAAACCCCATCTCTACTAAAAATATAAAAATTAGCTGGGCGTGGTGGCATGCACCTGTAATGCCAGCTACTCTGGAGGCTGAGGCAGGCAAATAGCTTCAACATGGGAGGCGGAGCTTGCAGTGAGCTGAGATCGCACCACTGCACTCCAGCCTGGGCTACAGAGCAAGACGCTATCTCAAAAATAAATAAATAGGCCGGGCGCCGTGGCTCAAGCCTGTAATCCCAGCACTTTGGGAGGCCGAGACGGGCGGATCACGAGGTCAGGAGATCGAGACCATACCTGGCTATACACGGTGACAAACCCGTTCTACTAAAAAATACAAAAAAAAACTAAGCCTGGCGGTGGCGGGCCGCCTGTAGTCCCAGTATCAGGAGGTCCTGAGGCAGGAGAATGGCGTGAACACGGAGGCGGAGCTTCGCCAGTGAGCTGAGATCCGGCCACTGCACTCCAGCCTGGCGACAAGAGGCGAGACTCCGTCTCCAAAAAAAATAATAAAATAAATAAATAAATAAATAATAAATAAGCATAAGTAGATGAAAACACATAAAAATGGCCGGGCGCGGTGGCTCAAGCCTGAATCCCAGCACTTTGGGAGGCCGAGACGGGCGGATCCACGAGGTCAGGAGGATCGGAGACACCGTCCTGGCTGACACGGTGAAAACCCCGTCTCTAACTAAAAAATATGAAAACTTAGCGGGCGAAGGATGGCGGGCCCGCCCTGGCTAGTCCCAGCTACTCGGGGAGGCTGAGGCCGGAGATGGGTGAACCCCGGGAGGCCGGGCTTGCAGTGAGCTGGAGATCGGCCACTGCACAATGCACTCCCAGCCTGGGACAGAGCGAGACTCCGTCTCAAAAAAAAAAAAAAAAAAAAAAAAAAAAAACATAAAAAATAAAAGTAACGCACAGGGTCCTTGCTCTGTTATCCAGGCTAGAGTGCAGTAGGGCCAACTATAGCTGACCAAACCTGGAACTTCCCGCTTCAGGCAACACTCCTGGCTCAGCTTCCCTTG